GAACACATGGGTCCTGCATAGCTTATTTATGGGCCAAGTGGGCATGGGTTTGATCTGGGAACACATATATGGGTCTTGAATAGCATATTTATGGTCCAAGTGGGCATGGGTTTGAACTGGGAACACATATATGGGTCTTGAATAGCATATTTATGGTCCAAGTGGGCATGGGTTTGAACTGGGAACACATATATGGGTCTTGAATAGCATATTTATGGTCCAAGTGGGCATGGGTTTGATCTGGGAACACATATATGGGTCTTGAATAGCATATTTATGGGCCAAGTGGACATGGGTTTGAACTGGGAACACATATATGGATCTTGAATGGCATATTTATGGTGCAAGTGGACATGGGTTTAAACTGGGAACACATAAATGGGTTTTGAATGGCATATTTATGGTCCAAGTGGGCATGGGTTTGAACTGGGAACACATGGGTCCTGCATAGCTTATTTATGGGCCAAGTGGGCATGGGTTTGATCTGGGAACACATATATGGGTCTTGAATAGCATATTTATGGTCCAAGTGGGCATGGGTTTGAACTGGGAACACATATATGGGTCTTGAATAGCATATTTATGGTCCAAGTGGGCATGGGTTTGATCTGGGAACACATATATGGGTCTTGAATAGCATATTTATGGTCCAAGTGGGCATGGGTTTGATATGGGAACACATATATGGGCCTTGAATAGCATATTTATGGTCCAAGTGGGCATGGATTTGAACTAGGAACACATATATGGGTCTTGAATATCATATTTGTGAATATTAAATATCTCAATTTAATTGAGTTAGGTGCTGTCGCGTGTTGTAAATTGTTACCGTTATGCTTTTTTGTTTTTGCATGCTACAATATTTAAGTGGGTTATGTCAAGTCAAAGAATGATAGAAGTCATAATCTTTTGGAATAGTAGATTTTTCCCCATGAATGAAGTGTTTTTTTAGGTTTATGGAATGAATCAATTGCTTATGATCTGCCTCTTTCTTCAAATAGACCACAACGTAACAGTGATGAGCCCAATTCTACACCAATGTCTCTGATGCGGAATAATTTTCCCCATGTAGCCTACAGCCTCAATAACTTTTCGAAAATCGCTAATCTGTTATTTTTGAGCCGCATGTTTGTTATATATTGTCGATAATCAAGAGTTTAAGAATCTTAATCGAATCATCACGTGTCGGATCAAGATTAATGTAATAATCGACTTTTTGGCACACCCCGGAAAGTGCCAAAATAACTTCCAGTAAAAAATATTGAGGGTGGACTTCTACACAAAATTATGCTTGATGAAAAATGTCTTAATTTAATGCGTATGGCATTACGCACAACCAGTGCTGCGTCATAGAATGTCTCTAGGTTCACGCCCACTTTTGGGGTAAAACAAACTAGACTCCCCATAGAATAACGGCAAAAACCAACGTCCGTACACAGCCGACAGGCGTAAATAACTTAAGAAATCACTTATATAAAACATGTCAAGTAATTATATGTCCTGCCTGCCAAAGAGCCTGAAAGAGACCAATTTATTAAGCCTGAATAGATGCCGATTTAAAAACCTTTATTTTCCCAGCGTCAAGTAACAACCCCACCCAGTGGCTAGAGGTGTCTTCCCAGACATTTAATTGTACCTCATCGAGTCACCAGGTAAGCCATTGAATGATTTTATTTCGTATTTTAAAGTAAAAAACCTTAATTTATATATTATGAATTTATGATGATGATGGCAGCCTTATGGCAAGCCGTTTTAGCTTAAATTGTACCCAGCCTTACTCGTCGGAATTGCATTTTTACTAGTAACAATTCAATTAGAGAGCTCTACAATTCAATTCTTAGTAGTAAGAATTACAATTAGAGAGCTCTCTTATTTAATTATTACTAGTAAGAATTACATTCAGAGAGCTCTCTAATTCAATTATTACTAGTAAGAATTACAATTACAGAGCTCTCTAATTCAATTCTTCAATTCTGTGTATTACCTTTGCCTGGATTCTGATTATAATTTGGATTAACTTCAATAAACTGCATTTGGATCCTCAACCTTCTTGTCTTTGAACAGTTCATAACAGAGTTCATAACAGATCATTTTTGTTGTGGAATTTAACAATTTATTTTTACAGTTCGAAGAGTCAAGTGTCTTGTATCTTGGACTTATATTCATTCTTCATTTTTAGTTTTTCTTAGACTGTTTCCTTAAACCATTTGGGATGGTTGGGCCTTGCATGAATTGCCCAGTTAGGACCCACATGAGATCCTTACAGAGCCAACTTTAAAGGGTACCTATTATGCCCCTTTTTACAAGATGTAATATTGGTCTCGGGTGTCCCCAGATTGCATTTGTGAAGTTTCAGCTCAAAATACCCCACAGTTAATTTATTATAACCATTTGAAATTGTCATTTTGGGGCCTGATTAAAAATGAGTTGTTTTGGGTGTATACCACCTTAAATGCAAATGAGCTGCATATCCCCACCATGCCTTTGGATGAGGGCCAGAGGGCGTAACTTGATACCTGTGGCAGTCGGTAAGCAGAAGGGGAGAGCGAGAGACGCGCTGTTTTGTCTGTCACTCAGCGTACGTTTGAATCGGAATATATAAATAGTACGAAGAGACTCAGAATAAACACAAATGAGAATCGACCAGTACGTCTCGGTATGGTTATTTGATACAGTTATGTACTTATAGAGTTGTAATCGCGTCTTTTTGCAAGTATGGATGTGCAACACACACACAGACACACACAAACACTAGCGCAATTTTTTGAAACTACATACATATTCAGCCCATTCTCACTCCCAAGGCGTCACCTAACTGACGCCTTGGAAAGCATTTGGACATGCTTCAATATCTGACGCTTTAGGCGCCCTTTAGCGTCAGTTAGATGACGCCCTAGGATCGCGTGTACCCTACCCCCACCCCACACCTAAACCTAACCGCGTCCTCTAACTGACGCTTTCCTTTAGCGTCAGTTAGATGACGCCGTAGGATCGCGTCATGTAAGTGACGCTAAAGGGCGCCTAAAACGTCAAATATTGAAGCATGGTCAAAGGTGACGCCTTGGGGTGAGAATGTGTTGACATATTCTGTGATAAAGTTTGCTACGTACAAGCGAAATTACATTTATGCGAGGGACCTGTTGCGTCATGTTTACTTGTCATACAGGTGCTTCTGTGGCAAATGTGAGAAGATGGCTAACTTAAAGAACAACAACATATGCAGTTTTTAATACAATATATTTTAATATATATTTATAAACGTGTGGTTACACAGTATACAAACAATGTTTAAATTATATACACAGACATCCTACGACAACAACAACTTTAGACGCATTTGTTGTTGAATTGACTGACAGACTGAAATGACTATTTGCTCAAAAATCATAAAATACACTTACTAGAGGTGACGTTGAATCGCAAACAGTAGACGACGATCCACACTTGAGGATTAACTTTTAAGCCCCAACAACAGGATTAACCCACGAGTCCACGACAGAACACGTATGTTTCCAAGAGACATTACCGGCTGTCATTGAAACAATGGAGGATGATGTGTACAGATCACCGAGGTTGGGGTAGGCCACAACCACACTGTCAATCAAACCCCTTGCTCAATTCTACGTCACAAAGAGCTGAATCTTAGAACAGCTCGTTCTGAGACAGTGCATATGATTTATTGAGATTGTAAAAAAAAAACACTGGGTGGATTTCTAGGGTGGTTTTGCTCACACACTGCCAACACATTTATGTTCAAACACCATGTAAAAGTGAATTTTCCATAATAGGTGCCCTTTAAGCCCATAGGGGCATTCACGGTTGCATCCTGGTGCAAGCCCACTTTAAACCCCTTTGGGTCTGACATGAATTACCCAGTTAAGACCCACATAAGACCTTTACAGGTCCCACTTAAAACCCTGGGTTTTAAGGGCAGCTGCCCTCACTGCGAGCTATTGCCCATGGTGACTGAGGACTCGCCTGGCGTACTTCTCAGAGACAGCACTTCCACCCGTTACAGTGTCACGCTGTAAAAAGCGTCATATCATTATTGTACGGCTGTGGTCCGTCATAGAAGTAAGTATGAACAATTTCCTCAGCGTCCAAAATGTTATTGCAATCCATTGTTTTCCTGTTGTTTGAATCGACCACCGTCCTGCCCATTACATCACGCCCATTTTCAGATGCAGAACTAAAATGTCAAAGGCATGTAAAACAGATTGTTTGCATGTAAACCTGACCAACAGGTTTTCAGGAAACTGATTTTTGTGTTCATGAAAGCATGCTCACTGATGACTGGTAACGTATTTTCCCCATATAGTATGGTCTTTTTCAGTTTGTTAGCAAGATTGATGTGGGTGACTTCTTCCATACGAGTGTTTTGTGTCATTTGATGAATTACATAAAGCATAATAGCTCCAAAAAGGATTTCTTTAAATACTTGCAGATAAGACATTTCGTTCAGATTAGACATGCTAGTCTTACCCTGAATGGCTCGGATTTCTTTTTGGATAGATTTTTTTTTTCTTTCTGAAGGATACTGAAGTTAAAAACATCATATCCCATTTGTACTCTATGATAAGCCATCGCAAAGCTGAACATCTAATTTTGTTGCCTAAGGCATGTAGTAAGAACTTGACAAATTATAGCATTTGATTTTGCAGCCAAAGGCATGTAGTAAGAACTTGACGAACTTGACAAATTATACCATGTGATTTTGCAGCCTAAGGCATGTAGTAAGAACTTGACATGAACTTGACAACTTAAATGTGACATTGACGAAAATGTCTGGGAAGATATTATCAGACTACAATATTTCAGTCTGAATTCAAACAAATACAATTTAATATTGTCCATTGATTATGTCTCAACTTCTGAAAAATTATTAAAGTGCTTCTAGACACTAATTAAAAATGTGAATTAATACTGAGGTATTATCACATTAATTCACAAACCTAATAGAAAGTCAAACCAGCAAAAAGTAATAAAGAGTTATTACATACCCAATCAGTACCATCCCAAAGACTACAAGAGTCACGAAAATAAGATTCTGATGGTGTGGCATTATTCCCGGATTATTGTGTCCACAACGATATGAACTTGTAGACTAAAGTGGATATGCGAGAGGAATAAACCAAGAGAGATTTAGAACAAGGAAGGAGGAGTGTGTTGCCAAGGGGATTTCAGAATCGAATAGACACCAAGATGGGGACCTGGATAAGAGCACAGGTAAATAATGCTCAAATAGCAAACACTCTCTGACAATCTCAAAGCCATTAGTCGATGATAACATTATAATGATCCCCAAAGTCTTCATGGGGACAGGACTATTAAAACTCTATTTTGTTATTTGAGCATATACTGTTAAATAAATATTCAGTATGGATTTTAACTCATTGGATTTTTCACTCATTGAATGTAGTAAACAAAATAAAAATGTGTGGCTGTAGTAAACAAAATAAAAATGTGTGAATTCTCTTGAAAATGAAATATTTGTTGAAGTAAAACTGGCCTCAGGAGTCAACTCAAAAGATTCAAGAAATAGACAACAGAAAAAAAATCCTGCTTGACTGGACAAAGAGAACAAAGAACCAAACCAGTTGAATGTGAAATTTAAAACCAGGTATTATATGAGGCAACACTGATGAATCCACACCGTTTATATATATATACAATCTTTTTGCGGAAAGATAGTGTCCTTTGATAGTTTAGTCATAAAAGTATAATAAATATAAAAGTTAGGTAACACTTTATTTTACGACCCGCAAACAACTGTGTAGGTACACTGAAATTACGGTTATTTCCTTATACCTACACGTACACAGTTGTTTGCGGGTCGTAAAATAAAGTGTTACCAAAAGTTATATTTTATATATAGCCTAATATATATTTTTTTTAAAGATTGGTACAATTCAGAGACTCAATTCAGCTCAAGTGTTTTCTTTTTGTATAATGTTCTTTTCAAAATACATATCATTTCAAAACATCTTTACAGAAAATTTATGTTATCAGAGGTGACATTCAAAGTAATACTCTTACGTCAGAAATGTACAGTTCTAAGGCAATACAGATTAGTACTGTACTGTGATCTTAATACTGTGATCAAAACTAAATGCCTAGATAGCAAGGTGTATCCAAACCATAATTTTGGCTGAGATTGACCTCTCAAGGTTTAAAGGTACACTGTGTAGGAATTTCTCCCAGCTGTGAAATTGTACTTTACATTCAAACGAATACGCTGATTTCATGCAGCCGCCATTTATATATATGCTGCTAATTTCTCTCCTGTATTCGACTATTCGGCAGGAGCTGACTTTATTACACAACCTGATTGTATGCAACAATTTAACTGCATTTTCCCAACTTGGTGCTTCACAGGTATGGTTATGCATTTAAGTGTGGTTTTGTGATTTATTGTTTAAAATTTAATTGCTTTTTATGTATAAACCAAATTCTGAAAATGTGAGTGATTGGAAAAGGTGTATAAATTTAGTTTCATTTGAATAAGTGTTTGATGTATTACAAACAATGTCAATATATATTTTTATATTCATTTATTGGCTGTTGATTGTATGTAGAGGACATCTTCTATATATGGCTATGTTGTAGGCCTATGTGGTGTGATAATTTTTCTTATTGTCAATAAGTTTGTCTGTAAAGTGTGAACTCGCTTCAGTCCGTGGGAGGTCTGAGCAGAGCGAGGAGCTGACTTTATTACACAATCTGATTGTATGCAACAATTTAACTGCATTTTCCCAACTTGGTGCTTCACAGATAAAAGAATCATTGAATAAGCAATTTCGGCTCCAGTCTTTATTCACCGCCTTCACCACAGACACAACACAACGCAGAGGGGTAGCTGAACCGGTTACACTAGCAGTTCTCTTTGGCAGTTTGCTGATAATCCGGTGTCTGAAGTAAAATACTTAAAACATCTCCTGAGAAAAATACCAACCAAGTCTTTGTTATTTAATTTTGGTTTAGTCTTATTTTGCTTACATTTTCATTCAAGGCCAGGGCACTTTTTGTACATTTTTAGAACTTTTGCGCGCTTCCACATCCCGTGCAACTACAGCTCTCCCAGGAACATAATGTGTAAATTTATCCTTGTCACCTAGATGCGCATGCGCGAGCGGTGCGCGATGCCGCGATCATGGTCGACTGACAGCAGCTGGAGAATACCGGCCGTTTTTAAAAATTTAATTATGTATTTAACCCCTTAACTGTCACCCCCCTTTCTTTGAGAATGGGGGTTAAAATGCACTATTCACACTTAAATGGTTGTAATTCAAATGGTTGTAATTCAAGAATGCTTTGGAATATATACCCAAGTTTGGTCTTGTTTTAAAGGAAAAACTCAGCAGATTATTTCTGAAGTGAAAACACTTCAAAAAATGAAAGTATGAAAAAGTTACGAAAGTTTAAATTCACAGTAAATCAAATATACTGTATTATATATTTTTATTTTATATAAAATATATATTTTACAAAATATTTTTTACTCTAAAATTACTATAAAATCAAAGCCATAAATCTAACCAAGTTATGTTCCAAATTTGAAATTGATATCACAAAAATTGAAGTTCCCATGAGATTTTGTTTAGGCGTAGTACCAAAATTAGCCACCGGGTGCCATTGAATTCCATTTAATTTAGTTGTATATATTCTGCCTTAACAAATTAATAAATTTCTGTCCAAATATCAATTTTGTCACAAAATTTGGAACCTTGAGACTCAGACCTTTCTGACAATATGTGTTTGTCAAGATTAGAAAAGGTTTTGATAATAAATTATGAAATATAATGATGCCCAAAAGGGGAGGGGCCTGATAAAATAAGTACGGTTTCTATGGTAACGCAATGTTCAATTATAAAACGGTGTTCACAGGATGAATTCTGAGTTTATAAGCTTTCAAATGAAACCTAATTTATGATAACTACTATATGTGATATAATAAAAAAGGCGATAAAAAAATATATTTTAGAGCATAATAAATATGAATATTATAACAACTCCAATAACAGTGACAAACATTTCACATATTTAAAAAAAAATTGACATTGGAGACCTAGAAGCTGCGCTGAGCGTAACTTACACACACACACACACACACACACAGATACACGCGCACACACATACTGCCTCACGCCCCGACGCAACAAAACCATTCAAAACCCATAAAAGCAACAATTATTAATAATACTTACAGGTTGTGATTCGAAGGAGGAAGCTGATCCATATAGATTGGGTAAGTAAGTTACTGAGCCCTCCTTCAGGAACAACAGCTTGCGAATCCACATTTGAATTCATTTATGTTTTGGACTAACGTTATTCGTCAATAAAATGATGAGAACACAATCGGGCTATACTGTTGTGGTATCGTTGCAAATATGAACTCTAACCACCGATTCTTCACATGCTCGTCCCTGGTAAATGAAAATAAAGTGGCTGAACTATATTTGCATTATAGAACACAGCGTCTCCTCGACATGATGCTATGATGAAGTATTTGAATGTGTAGATAAGAAAGTATCCGTCTGCGCGTGCAGTAACTGGGCGCGGTCAGTATGTATCTACGTCACTATGAACCAGCTAATGACTTGTTTCAAAAACAATTCATTTCATAGATTCAGAGTCGACTCTCACTTTTGAAAGACAATAACTATACAGTGCACTTTCAGATATAAATCTTTGCAGGATGTTTTCATTCCCTTAGAGCTATATTCCACACCATATGAACAGTCATTTTCAAAAATCCATGATAGGGGCTCTTTAAAGTTTTAATCCACTTCTTCCTTATACTCAATTCAGTCAGAAATCCATGAAAACTTAAGTAGGGTTGGCATTGTTGGTTAGATTTACAAAGTGGAACAGAGCAGTGACATAAGCCGCTTTCCGACCAAGTAGTTACAGGAACTTGGTTATAGGAACTGTCCATTTCTAAACAGTTCTAAGAACTACTCTCCCCCAAACTCGGTTTTGCTGCTTGTGTTCGCACTGGCCAAATGGCTATAGGAACTGGTAGGACGCAAGCACGGCGACGGTCTTTATAGCCTCATCACTAGACGTAGCTCGGCCACATACAACAACAACAAACCAGCATGGAGGAGGCTATTGCAATGTTCCTGTTCTGCCTTGCCGGGACCTTAATAACGGAGAACGAACAGCGGCGTTTAAAGATTATGCTTGAGTTCTGTACAGAGAAACACAGAAGACGAAGGCTCCAGCGTAGTATGATATTAAGTAATATGATGGAAGAAGATAAAAGAGCAGAGCGCAGGAGGCAAACAAAACGACGGGTAAGTTTAGCTATTATTAGCAATCAGCTGGTTGAATGCGTTATGTTTGTCTTAATCCTCGTTGTAATGTTTTGCAAAAACACACAGCGTATGGGAGACAGCGCAGCGCGCTACAAGTTCCGTGTTGACAGTGGGCATGATAAGTTGAACCAATCAGCGTAGACCTAGGGAAAGAGAACTAAAAAAGTCTTCGCTCTAGACTAGGTACTGAAAGAGTTATAGGAACTACGGTCTGAGGAACTAAAAAATCCCCAATTTAGTTCGGTCGGAACACGAGAAAAAAAGGGTTATAGGAACGTTAGGTTCTACACAGTAAATTTGTCCGAGTAAAATTTACTCAAATTGAAGAAAATTTTACTCTATGCCAGATAACATTTGGTCCCTCTCTGAAAAGAGTAAAAGTGACTCTTTTGATAGAGCACTTTTTCCAGAGTTAATTATACTCAATTTAGTGATACAATTTTACTCTTTCCTACAATATTTAACTCTGTTTTTTAAATCAACTCTCATGCTATTTTACTCAGTTCAGAGCTACAAGAAAATAACTCTGCTACTTTTTAACTCTGTTCAGGGGAACTTCAAATTTACTCTGCCACAATTTACTTTCCCTCCAGAGTTGTTTTTCATCAATTGAGTAAACTTTTATATATTTTTATATATTTTTATTTTAAATATAAACTTTTATATTTAAAGAATAAGTTATTCTTCTGAATTACACCATTCATGTTTTACCCTCAAAAAGTCATAAAAATAAAAATGAAAATCTTGCTGTCTGAAAACAAAATCAACAACTCATGTCTCAATTTTATTTTTCAAGCACCCATTTAAACAATGTTG